TCGGTACATTCCATTGATGATGTCCGCATGGACCTCACGAACACAGATCCTATTTGATGACAGAGATCTCTCAGAGGTATGTTGAACTGACTCCGGACCCGTTGGCGAGTGGCTGCGTCGTTGGGTCTGTGGACGAGGTGGATTCGTGAGGTACTCCACGTAGGAATGCTCTGAGGGCGCCGAACTGGGCCGGAATTCTAAAAGAACCAAAGAACCTTTATTGGAAGCCGAATTTTCGGTTTGGCGGGTGACTCTGAATCACCGCGTCCAAAAATGTCACCTTTTATCAACGCGCGCCGTACAAAAAACAGTTTTGACTAATTTGGCATCGCGTGTCTTCGGGGGAGTCGACGCCTTAATGACGACCATTTGCGTCCTACCCAGTGTTTTGATAACGCGAAAACGCACATTAGTCTCATTTACCGTGCGGCCTGCAGTGAGTTTCCGGAAGATGGTTCAGCGCCTGAAACTAGAACTCATCTACCAGAAAACCCTGTGTGATTGACACGGCACCACCGCCCTCTGATGTTTACCCACATTGTAAGTGGTAGAAGCCGTCTTTTGACCAGATTAGAATGATAGACCAATCAATAAATTTTGGTTATGCTTCAACCCAACACCAAAAGCAAAATTCTCAACGAACTCACCGTTCGAATTGTTCGCATCGTCACTCTTCTTAGTTGTGACGGAGACTTCACAAGAATTCCGCTCTGACTGGAATTGTAGTGGAGAGTGCGAATTGGAGGGAGTAGGAGTGATCGTGGGTCGCATGGCAACCCACGTTCCCATGCGTGGAACCCGTCGTCTCAACAATGCTGGGGTTGTAGCACATTCTTTAGCCGGAATCGGAGGAAGAGGTCGATTCGCCGGCGAAATGCACTGTCAAGTTAAACAACACTGTAAGCCTTCAGTGGAGTGTGCTTTCGTAAAAGCGAAAATGTATAATGTTGAACATGCGTGGGTTTTGTTTACGATGGTGCAAACTGTCGTTTATACGACTCAAAAAGATTTTTAAAAAAAATTGCTGTCTGTCAGAAGATTAGCTATTGCAAAAATACTTTTATTAGAACAAGGTAATGAAACCCAAACAAATGACCGAAACACAGTTAATTCATCGGAACGAAACCTACCGACGAAGGGGAGATCATAAGTAATGCCTTCATAATCCTGGAGACAAATCTGTCGGGTATATATTCTTCACCCCGTGGCCAATCAGATAGTTGCTTACTCGATTCCAATCAGCTGTGCTGCGTACACACGCGTCGAGGCGATGCTGATTGGCTCCTGGACAACCAATTAACTTTGTGACAGGACTGGCGTGGTTTTGCATTCCATTGTGATAGGTCGCGTGGCTATTTGCGATGTTAATGGTCTGTCGCTGAGTTGCTACATTCTAAATTAAAATGTTACAATTGGGGTAACTGATTGAAAAAAAAGGGAAAAATCAAAGTTTAGTTATTTCATTTCAACAAAAGAGGATGGCGTCAGTATAGTAAAGGTTTCAAAGAAGCGCCGGGCGTAAAAATGAGGAAAAATTTTTTTAGCCATTTTTGCCTGTCGATTTTGTGGCTTACTCAACTGCTTCTGTCTGTCTCAAAATGAGCTAAACAAACACAAACACGGGTCAGCAGGTTCTCGGGATAAATTATTTGTTTTTTTTAAAGCTGATCGCTACTGTGAAGCCACAGCGGTGCGGCATTTTGTTTCCATTGGAATTGGTAGAAGCGGTTCGAAGCGGTGAAAAGCACATGGAGACGTAATGGTGAAGACGTCAAATAGCGTGGAATAGGCTCTTCCACGACACTAACACAATGCAAACGTGTCTGGTCCGTGACGAAAAATTTGACAATTAATGTACAGTGGCTCGGTCAAGCGCCAGTTCTAAACTGTCAATGTCACTATTGTATAAAATATTACCACCAACGCACTCAGACATAAAACTAGTTGTTGGCACGCACAGAATTCAGCCACGGCTTGTAATTGGCCCGTAAATCCACTCAAATCTGTCTCAAAGTTTTAGTAACTAGACATTTTCAGTTATGTTAATGTTCCTTCTGATAGAATAACCTTGTGTGGCCTTGCCGTGCAGTGTGTCGGATGTCTGAACACAGCACAGGGTTCCACGGAAATTACATATTTCGATTTTTGAAGAGGCGCAGTGAGGTAGCAACCTAACGACCACCCAAGCCACGTGATACCTAGTCTGCTTTGGTTGTGCTACCCGTGGCCGTAGCTTTGCTTCAATCGAACTAAATAAGATTTATTGCACTTAAAAATCGCTACATTGAGCATACCATTTGCTTAAATGAGCACTACAAACCCCCAGTCGTTGAAGGTTATCATGACCTTGAGTTCGCCCTATAGTGGAAATTCCTTGTCGTTCAAATGATGTATTTGGTCGGAACTTCAGAACAATGTACTTGAGTAGTGGAGATTTGAGAGTGAATCAAAAGCAGTGAGCAATTTTTCAACTATCCCACTGAAATGACAAGTAAAAAGTGATATTCAAATATCAGTGACCGAGTGATTCGATTAGGCTGGGCAAAATCAGTTAACACTTGTATTTTAAGAGGTGGGACAAGTGTCGGCCCCAGTAAAGGGGACGCGTCTTCCATCGCGCGTCCCCACGATCTTCGTGGAGGGTTTCGGAAGTGGGCTGGGGTGTGGGGGGGAGAGGAGGGGGTGCCGGGGCCCTATCAAATGCAGCCTTACTTTTTATCACGTTTTCTCTCTCACGAGAAGCAGGACTTCGCGGTGACATCAAAGGCCGACGGAATGCCGGTAGGAAATGGGCACAAAAATATCGTGAAGCACCTGGTTTACTGCGTCTGACTACACGACGCTTACCGCTCTGCGGTTGGTCGAATGCCATAAATTTGATATTCCCTTCCCGCGTTATTCGAGTGGGCCTCTTGTGGGTACACTATCGACGCCTGGATGCCTCGAAGTACCTTATTTGGTGTCATGTAACAAGGGCCCAATTGGAGTGAGCCGAAGAGAACACATCAAAGATTTGCAGGCCGACACGCGACCTAGTTCTTCTTGGACCCCCCATGATGTCATCGACGCTTTCTTCCCTATCCACAGCGCTATTAGCAACAGTATGCAGTCAAAGGAACTAAAGTTACACTATGTGGGGTCGCAAGATTATGCAAAGAATCGTTCGCATCTAAAGAAGGATGTGCTCGTGTAGACGATCGATATTCAAATAGCCCATAAGCATTATTCATTGGCCAGAACTTAATCGATTTTGTGTGGCCAAATTAAAACATGAACCTGCAGCGAGTACTCAACCAATTGAATTGGAATTTAAGCGATCGAAATAAGGTGCTTTCGCCACGAAAATTATTAGCATTGGTCGTTGAATTTGACTCAACCAAACGCCTGGCATGCGACGTCAAGCTGGCGAATGATAAAATCAGCTGTCAGAGTAAATCAAGGCAGCTTAATGTCATAGAATGATGTCTAAAACAGGACAGATGCCAAACAAGGGGAAACGCATTAGTGAATAATTGGATCTGTCTAATTAAACATTCAACTTGAGAAACACCACTCGGGTTAAATTAAAGACCGCGTCACGTCCTTCAAGATGGCGAAAATTTTTAGGCAGATTAATGCACTTCGTCTTGATTAATACAATCACATTGAAACCGTGATTATTTTGTGAAATCACGAGTAATTATCAGCTTATAATTTGGTTTGTTACCCTGTAAAATGAACAGAACTGAGATATAGTGAAATATCTTGAAAACGTAGAATTCGACAGACACTTTGGTACGCAGGATGAGAAGAATAAAAGGACACGCTAATGCGATGCCTGACTATCATCCAGGCAAATCGATTATTGATTAGTAGTGGCAAGGTCAAGTGAAGAATCTTAAAATCGCTGTCCTTGATCTAGATAACTGAGATCCCCTAATTAGTTACTATGTGGCATCTTAGCAGACGTGTGTTTGCGTGAGTGTGTTCATGTCTCCGATGGGTGCTACAGAACTTGTCGTCATTCAGCTGCGAAACCCTCCTCTTACCAGTGATTCCTTAACCGTGGCTATTTGCACGACCATTGTGAATATTTGCACGAGTAAAGAACAATGTAAGCAACTACTCCTGAACGGTTGCTGAGTTAATCTTCTTCAAGAAATCTCTGCTTCCAAACGTGTTGTGTTAAACTCATGACCAGAAGACCACTTAGATTTCTGGTTTTCTATCAGCAGCTCGATATCTGATTAGCTGTGGCAACGTCAATCGACCCCCTGTGATCCAAAGAAGCCACCGTTCTTCTCTGCTCTCCCGATTCCTTGCGAACACATGCAACACACTCTAGGTCGTGCATCATCGTCTCAGCTACCGCACAACTACACGTGTTATAGGAAACCGAGGTACACAGTCGGATCCCACCATTGCCCCCTGATGAGTCACCCTGGACAGATGCTGCACTAGGCTGCAACCACGGTGACGTGTCAATACGTCGGATGCATCACGCGTGTCAACGACCACTCACGTCTGCCGATGTCAATTCCGGTCAGTGATTTAACATCGGAAAGCCGGCCAACTGACGCTCGGGCGATGTGTGCGATACCTCTACAAGTGTGTTCTGACGGACAACCAGAGCCACCTTGAACACTGGAGTTCGCACATTGCAACCAATGAATGCCACATAACATGTGGGTAAAGGCGACTGCTTCGCGACGGCGGTTGGGATGTGATTCATTATCGCAGGACACAAAGCACGCAGACTTCACGACGAACGCTTAATCC